AGTCTCTACGTATGCGAACTCTTTGTAACAACGAAGATAACGCGAAACACGTTCATATATATATATTGTCAGGCGGTGTATTACCGGGATTAACACTATGGGTTTCTTTTTTATGTGGTCCATTGTCAAGCTACTTGATCGACCAGAAGGGTTCGCGGTCGTGAGCCAAGACCCGGAGTTCCACTTGCTGTTGCTCCTAGTTTGCGTGACAGCGTCGCGTCGATAAGAGCGTTGGTGGGCGACACCAATGCACGGTCGATGCACAGCACATTGTTTCCATAATCCTTTTTGTAGATTCCATTGGGTCCAACAGACGTTGTATCAGGGTCTGGTTTAAAACAGAGGGCACACACTAAATAGGTGCCAAGAAAAACGAAAATGGAGCTCCATGCTCCAACCCCGTGGATCCAGAGGTCCAAAAAGCTCAGACCCAGCTCCAGACCAGTGTCATTACCAAATGTCGGCTTTTTTTTCTGACGGTGGACACCGAGACTGAGATGCTTGGCATCGCGTGGACCATGTGATTTCGCGGCACGAGCCGCGCACAATTTAGAACCTACTGTAGACACAAAGCACAAGCGCCAGACGACGAGGGATTTTCATTTTGTCCCAACATCCCACTCAGCGATCCCACTCTACCAGCAATGGGCATGGCATAGGATGTTCAGTTCCCAATTGCATTGGCCGGCCGCAAGCGTACCTCCGCTCCGGCCAACCCCATGGCGCTTCGACCCGTCAAGCGCACCAAGACAGAACCAAGGACCATCGAAGCGCTCGGTCCCGACGTGCTCCCGCGCCTCGTTTCGTTCCTGCAGCCAAACGACGCGCTCAACCTCTCGAGCGCCAGCACGGTCCTCGACGCAGCCATGAACAGGTCCGTGTGGCGCTACGTTCTCATTAAACAGTGTGGCGTCAAGCCAAAAATGATCAAGCCGCGATCGCAGCTCCGCAAGATGGTCGTCGGTCTAGTCGAAAAGAAAACGTGCAGTCACTGCGGCCACTTTGAGGTCCGCGGTCCCTTCACGATCACGGCTGACAATGAGCACCACGGCGCAAAGCTCTGTTTGACGTGCATGGAAATACCATTTTTCAATGAGATTGGACACATGGAGGCCCTTCGCAAGTACAAGCTCAAGCACCACGAGTTGCATGCACTGCCAGTCCGTCTCGTCGCCTCTGCGTCCTACGATCACGAATTGGGCGAGCCACGCATAAAGAAGATGTACAACCTACAGAATGTGCTAGATCTCGTAACAAGAATGCGCATGTAGTTGCACAATGCACAAGGCAATTTCATCGTGCTCCAGTTTGGTAGCGTACTACTAGCTACGTGTTGGCACCGCCAAGGGACAATTGGTGTATACTTGAGGTAGAGCCCATTGAGGCTGCGCCATCTTGTGATCGTCGTCGACACGGCATCGATGCAACTAGTGATGTGTAATAGTTACCATCTTTTCAAGTTTGGTATGTGGGTGTCGTGGCGTTGCATTGGCTAAAAATCCTAATTTTTCCGTCAGACGCAACGATGATTGGATAAACGGAAATAGTGTCAATAGTAGGGCTGACTTGTGAATGAATAGCTTTGAGCTCGGATAAAATGACAAGGCTACACCCTTGGACTTTACTAAACCCATCATTTTCTTCCTTCTGCAAAGACTTGCGCAAGAGGTCAAACACTGTCGTCTCCGAGTCGTTTGGAACGAGTTGGGCATCTCAGGATTCCGTTTCTCTTATCAAGTTCCGTTGTGATTCTAAAATGCAGACCACGGTGATGATGCGTGAAGGTCCTTCCCATCTCCGTCGACCGCCAATGAATGAATGATGGTGTTTCTCGTGGCGTTTTCCCATTTCGATTCATTGGATGCTCATTTTGCGATTGCAATATGGCCGGCCACAAGCGCACCTCCCAACCAACCAACACGACTACGCCTCGACCCGTGAAGCGCGCCAAGACAGAGACCGTGATCGAGACGTTCGGCCCAGATATGCTACGAAGCATTCTCGCATTCTTGCAGCCAAAGGACGCACTCAACCTCTCAAGCGCCAGCCCGGCGCTGGACGCGGCCATTGACAAGTCGGTGTGGCGCTACGTCTTGCTGGAGCAATGCGGCGTCGAGCCAACGCTGCTCAAGCCGCGCACGCAGCTCCGCAAGAAGGTCGTCGGGCTTGTCGAGAAGAAATCGTGCCACCACTGCGGCCATATTGGAAGAACCAAGCAGAATCTCTATATGATCAAGGTCTTTAGCCAGCACCACGGCAAGAAGCTCTGCGGGATGTGCATCCAATACCCCATGTATCATGAGATTGGACTTCAGGACGCGCGCCGTCGATTCAAGGTCGCATACAGCCAGCTGCGGACGCTGCCCGTTCGACACGTCTCCACTGGGAAGATGCTCAACCTCCAGCATGTGCTGGACCTTGTGGCGAGTGGGTAACGCTGTACTAGTAGTTGATCTTCTCTCGTTGGCTGCTCTCCAAATCAGGTTACTAGTATTTGTCACGACTACTGTCTGTGTGGTGCTGGTCTCGTTTTAAAACCTCTTTACCTGCGTGCAGTTCCCGGTACAGATGGAGACGAGTTTGGCGTTGGCGCGGATCCTGGACGTTGCTTTTAACCGATCAACTACATGATGTGCTTAGTTGCTCCTACCCTGTTCCGTGGCAATTTTACCTGTTGGGTCGTCTCTACACGTGGCAAGATGAGAGTCTTCGCACCAGGCCTTGGTTGCATTAAACACTGCAGATCACATAGTATCTATCGCAGAAACACCACATCCCTACCACAAGGATTAGGAGAACAGGCTGTCTGCCCCGTCTCTCGTCCATAACACGACAACATGCTATGGATCCTCGAGGCATCAAGCTGGGTTTTGGGCTGCTTGATGATCCCTGTCTCGAGCTTGGGATTCCGACGACCGTCGATGGCTCGCTTTTGCTTGAAACATCCTATGGGCAAGCCAAGAAGAACCGAAAATGAGCTAAGTGCAACGGGCGACACGAAGCGACTCTCGTCGAGACGGTGCTGATGCACTTCAACTGGAGCTGCGAGCCTTCCGTCCTGTACTACTACATTCGATCCTCTTGAACACGCTTGCAACAACCAAAAGGCAACATGTATTATGCTGACGACTCGAAACAACACGTCCGGAACGGCGGTAGCCGACGGCTCGCCGCGACCAACGTCGCACTCTCGAGCGGACTGCACTGCAGATTCGTCGCACGCACAACGATGGGTGCCGGTAGCTCGAGCGCTGCGAGCGCAGACAAGAGCGCGCGGGCACCTTTGGCCCCCAGCGGGTTTTTCGATAGATCCAAGAGCCGGAGACGCGGTGGCCATGTGTCGACGAGCGCAACGACGCCAGACGATCCACGCATTTGATTGCTCGCCATGCGAAGCATATCGAGCGACGGAAGATGTTTCAAAGCGACGGCGAGCGCCCGTGCGCCGTCGTTGCCAATGCCTTGGTCGTCAAGACAGAGGTCGCGAAGGAAGCGCGGGCGGGATGCCGCCATCGCCGACGCCAGAGCGATCGTACCAGCGTCACCAAGCATGGCGTCCGTCGAGATCGTCAATGCATGCAGACACGCGAGCTGCAACTGCGAAACGCGCGAAACCGACGACGCTGGTAGTGCCACGTCATAGACGGTCCAATCACACTGCGTAAGGCCATGGACCGTCCTTTCTTGCCTCGTCGGGACCAGCGTCGCAACCACGTCGTCGGGACGGTTGCCGTCACGCGACGCCACGAGAAAGCGCGTCTCGGTGGCTTGCGTCGACGTCATTTGCAACTGAAACGCGTAGCTGCCGTCGACGCGGACGCTTGCATCCCCATCAATCGTCACCGAGAGATAGTTCGTCGACGACGTTCGAAGCATGGTCGCCAAGTGCCGTCCGGCATCTGGCACAGCCCACGCGACGTGTCGGAGCGAGAGCTCGGTGAGCGACGACGCCGTGTGTAGCCACGCAGCGAGGGCCGCCAATGTCGTCGCAGTCCACACGGCCGTGCCTTGAAACGTTAGACGCACGCGGCGCAGCGACGGCATGCGCAGCGACATCAGCATGTGATCGGCGTTCGGAATTGTCGCTGACCATGTTACGTCGAGTTCCTGCAGCGACGTCAACGTAGGCAGGACCACGACGAGGTGTGCGACATCACTAGCGGTCCAGGCGCGGGTCGTTGCCGAGAAGGCCTTTTGGCCATGCACGTGGAGCGCGAGGGACGTGATGCGAGGCCCCCACTGCGCCGCCGCAAAGGCAAACTCGGTTGGGCTCGTCATCCCGCGCAGGCGCAGACGCGTCTGTGGTCGCGCCAAGAAGGTGCTCTCGTAGACATAGTCCACTTCGAGGCTCGGGTACAGCGCAATCGCCAAGTGCACGTGCTGCAAGACGCGAGCATTCCGAAGCATGTCGCGCGGCAGGCGCAGGCGCGGCCAGAGGTGGCGCAAGGGCACAAGCGCGACGAGCTGGAGAAGATGCTGAAGCGAGTTCGTGAGGTAGGCCGATGGCCACGCGCGCAGGTACGCGACGAGGTCCACGCCGGACGGAATCGCACACGCGATGAGCTCGATGAGCGCAGCTTCAGTCACAGCCGTCATCAAGATCTGGGCCGTGCAAAACCAAGGCGTGCAGTATGTACCAGGTACAACCCAGCCCAACTTCAAGTCCATCCGGACATATTATCCGGATAAGTACCTCGAGACTCAGCGCCAGAAATTTTCTGGCGCTGAGTCTCTGGCACCATTTTATGGCGCCAGCAGCAAGATAGCGCGTTGTGTACAGTGCAAGGGGGGTGTGGGCCGCTGCGTCAACTGGTTCCTTCGACGACGCTGTCGATGCCACCGTTCTAGTGCATATCAAACGACAATCACTGCATGCGCTGCAGTGCTACACTGACAACTAGTACTAGTACAGTGTACGTCGAGTGCGGCCCAGCTAAAGAAGTATCCTGCTCTTTCCCACAAGATTGTTCTTGCTGCAGAAAGCGCGTGTGGTGCTCGATCAGGTGTGGCCACGTCGTTGCAACTTCTTCCCAGACAACTGTCTCTTCTGCTTCATCATGGCGCGTCGTCGACAATCTACTATAGCATTGATGCCAGCGCCAGCATCCCTTCGAGAGACGCAGAAGGATTCGTCAAACGCGTTCGAGCGGAAAACATCAAGTTTGCAACCCCGGGTTCCAAGACTCTACAAAGCGCTACGGCTGCTGCCCGCTCTGGGCTACTGGGAGTGTGCCTGGAGCTGTCCATGTCATTATCGAGCCTACGCGGCGAGCAATGGCTCGCGCGAGGTTGACGCTGCAATAACGCTCACCTACGTCATGGTAGTGCAAACTGGCTGGGGTACGTGGCGTCGTTTCGTGCGACTTGCGCGATCTTTTGGTCAAAGGTCGCGCCTTTCTCACCGCCATCGTGTGAGCGCTGGTTTGTACAATGCAAACGGTTTATTCTACATACAAATCCCAAGTGCGACCTTTCAAAATCCATTAAAATGCGACTGCAATCGAAGAACTCGCGTGCGAATCGAAGATTACGCAGTCGCGGTTGTGGCGCTACTTGGCAGAATGGACGACGAGGCCGACGTCGACGCGCGGCTCCAGCAAACGCTTCTGAAGCAGCACGAGAACTACGCTCGGCAGAAGGAGCTCCTCCAGAAGCTCAAGCGCCAATCGTCGGACGCCACGTCACTGCGTCTCAGCGCGATCCGACCGCCGACGCCGACACCCGCACCCGTAGACGAGCCGCCGCGCCTTGCGCAAACGTTGGCCGAGAGCCACCACGAGGCGCTCAACGAGAACTTGCGCAAGCAGCTCGAGCTCATTCGACGTCTCGAGCACGACAATAGCCGCCTGCGCGCCGAAGCCGCGTCGCTCCGCAGCCAAGTCGCGCTTCTCGACGAGCGAGCCAAGGTCAAGGACCTCGACTCTGCACGGCGCGCCAATGAGTTTGAGAATGCAACCGAGCTAGCGGCTTCGCTCCAGCGCGAGCGCGACGACCTCGCCCAGCGCAACACGCAGCTCAAAGGCTTGCTGACCAAGGCGGCCCGTGTCAAAGAGAGCTTGGAGGCCGAGCTCCGCTCGTCGTTGGAGGCGCAGCGCGCGCTCCATGAGCAAGTTCATAAGCTCGAATACGACGTGCAACAAGCCATTTTGCGCGAACAGAGCAGCCAGCACCAGAGCCAGACGGCCGAGTCGCACCAGATCCGACTCCATGCTGCGATCCAGACGCTGCAAGACGAGCTCGCGCACGCGCAGACGTCGCTGGCACACAAGACGGAGCAGTGCACGTCGATCCAAGCCTCGGCGAATGCATGCGTGGCCCAAGTCGAGGCGAGTCTCCAAGCCGCGCAAGAGTCGCTGGCGAAAGAGCAGGAGAAGCGGCGGCAGTGGGAGAGCGCTTGCCATACCGTCGAAGACCAGCTCGAAACGCTTACGGCACGGGACCAGACGCAAAAGGTTGCCCTCGAGACGCTGCGCGAGCTCCGCGAGCGCAATACGCTGCTGGAAGAAAAGGTCCCGTACTACCACCAGCTCGAGCTCGACAACAAGGACATGCACGGCAGGCTCCTCCATGCGCAGCGCGATCGGGAGGAGCAGGAGCGCAACATGGTGCAGCTCAAGCAAGGCATTTGGCAAACGACCAACGTGCTCAAAAAAGAGATTGAAGCCATGCGACTGTACCTTCTCTCGATTGAAAACGACGCCGACGGCCTCGGTGTCGACGACGTGGACGTGGCGGTCGCGTCGTGGCACGAATGTCCGTCGGAAATTCAGGTACCCTCCCCTACCCCTTGTGCATTTTTTTCATTTTTTCATTTTTCATTTTTTCATTTTTTCATGGCTCATCGGGACGCTAGCACTTGCGGACAATGCTGAGCCACTTCAAGCACGACCTCGTGCATGTGTCCAAGCAGCTGATTGCTGGTCGAGAGAACGAGCGCGCCTTGAGTGACCAATGCAGCGTCCTCTCGCAGAAGCTCGGCGCGTGCAAAGCCGACATGAAGGAGCTGAGCCGCGAAGTCGAGCGGCAGAAAGAGGCGTGCGCGGTCGCCGAGTCGGCGCGCGACCTCTCGATTCGCGAGAAGCGCGATCTCTTGCTCTGGAGCCGCGCCACGTGCCAGAAGACCGAGCGCATGGCCAGCGAGGTCGAGCAGTGGGAACAATTCACGCTGCAGCAGATCCACCGCATGCAGCGACTGCCGTGGCAGGACGCATCGTCAACGACGCCGACGCTCGATCTGCAATATAAGACGTACGCCGACTTGCGCCAGAGCTGGGAGGCCAGCCTACAGATCTTGCTCCAAGAAGCCCACCAGTGCCATGTCAAGGCGAACCAAGAGACCCATCGCGCCAACAAGGAAGTCAAGAAGAAGCTCGAGGCGGTCCGGAAGCTCGACTTGACCGAGACCGAGATGCAGCGCAAGCTTCACGAGAAGGACGTCGAGATGCAAGCGTGCCAGCTCCGCCACACCAACAGCATGCAGTCGCTTCAAGAGCAGCATGCGTGTCTCTTGCGCGAGAACGACGCTCAAATCACTGCGCTCACACGGCAGTTTACCGAAGCCACCGAACGATGGACGCACGCCGAAGCGTCGCGCCACCACGTCGAACAACAGCTTTCGCAACTCGAAGCGGACGCGCCCGTGTACCTCAGCATCGCGCACCTCTTCATCGTGAGCGTGCGTCCCATGGTCCTTCAGATCGCAGAGCTTCAAATGCAGAAGCGGATTTTGTCCCACCACATGCGTCTCCTCGAGAACCAGCACAAGGAAATCGAAGCGATCGCGTCGCTCTTCCAATCGACAACGCCCGTGCGGTCGCTTCTAGTGCGCTTCCGAGCCGCGGCGCTGGCCGTCTTTGCGTGCAACCGGTTGCGGCAAACCGCTTCGCACTCGTACGGTCGCAACGAAGCGCTCGGAATGGTCTTTCCGCAGCAAATTGGCGTCGTCAAGCTCCTCGCGCTGCCAAGCGAGACGCAGCTTCGGGCAGGTGTGAAGCGACTACACGCCAACGCCGCGTTTGCAGACAAGGTGGCCACGCTCAGTCAGTGCGGCTTGACCAAGCGATACCAGCACCACACGTCGTATGGCCAGTCGCCGGTCGGCGAGGCGCTGCTCGAGGCCATGCACACGCTCGACCCGAGCGGCGTCCAAGTCGTCCAGAACGTTCTCCAAGGCCACGCGAGCTTTCTGTGCGATTTACGCCCGGTGCGGCACGCGGCGACACACACTGTTGCGATTGACGTGCACCGGATTCGGCGCGAAGTCCTCGAGTGGATGAAGAAGGTCGAGCAGCTGCAGTTCCAGCGCAACGCACTCCAAAAAGAGAACTACGCGCTTCAAAACGCCGTGCAGGACAAGGACTATCAACTCAAGGAGCTCGAAGTGCTCAACGCCAACACGGCCGAGCTCAAACAAAGCTTGCCATGTACCAGACGCACGATGGACACAGTACGTTGCGTGTCTTGATGTGTTTTGTTCTTCTCCCATGTTGGAGGTGCACGTGGGTCTCTCGAATCTGTACTGTTTGCGGCCGACGGCTCTCGGTGTCTTTTCCACTTATCATTTTGATTTTCCACTTTTCACTTTTGATTTTCGACGTTTCACTTTGATTTTTGACTTTTCACTTTGCATTTGAACGTTGTATGATGCCCATATTACATCGTGCATGGCGTGGACTCAACGGCGACATGACCACTAGGTATCACGGTGCGCGAATTTGAGCTCTGTGTCCAAGAGTGCAAGCAAGCCGAGCACCAAGTCACGTTGCTCGAGTCGACAATTGCCGAGTCCAAGCTTGTGATAAAGGACCTCGAGGCGCAGCTCAACGCAACGACGGACCGGAGCAAGACGCTGGAAGATCAACTCAACAACGCACGCCATGCGCTTCTCGAAGAGGAAGACACGGTGCTCAATCTCAAAAGCGTCATTGCGCGCTACGAGAAGGAGCTCAAGAAGCTCCAAGTGGCAGCGCAGAGTGTCCACACGCAATTCCAGCAACGCTGCTCCGAAGCCGAAGTCGACAAGGTCGAGCTCAACGCACTCGCTGCCATGCTCCACGAGACGCAGCGCAAGAACGAGTCGCTCGAAGCCGAGCTCAAGGTCATCCAACACGACCTTTTGGATGCCAAAGACTCGCCACGCGATCATCGAGACCACCACAGTGCTTCGTACCTGCTCGTGCCACCCGTGCCGCACGCCGAGTACAAGCCGCGCCGGTCGTTCCACTCGAGTGCCGCGTCATCGATTTCGGACTCGGCTCCGCGGCATCATTCCCGCGTGCTCGAGAAGATGCACATGACCGACTTGGAGGATGACGTCAAGGTGTCGATGGACCTCGACAAGGTCAACCTCGCGGTACACAGCTACATGGAGCGCATCGACAAGAAGCTCCAGTCCATGTACGGTATTCCAGAAAGCGGCAAGTGGCGCGACTACAAACTTCAAGACGCCTAGATGTGGTGCAACAATAGACTACATAATGATGTGACAGTCCTGAGAACCGAGTGGTGCCTCTATTCTAGGAATGGCGAGGTGGCAGATAATGTGGGATTCCGGCGCCATTCGCCCGGAGTTTTTCCGGGATGAGATGCCCGATTTCCGGACGATGGACGGTAGTTATTGGCG